TTGAGTTTTTATTTGAATGAAGTGAAATGCTTAATGATGCGATAGAATTAACATACGCTAACAGGTGGGAAGAACGTAAAAAATTAACAACATACTGAAGGCTAATTCATAGTTGAGCGAGTGATAGATATCTGTCACCAAAGCAGAAACTTCTTCAGTATTATCAGATAATCGCGTTTAAGCAGGAAATATGATCATAAATGTTAAATTACATTTATACTGAAAATACATCAGCTTTAAGGCGATATATCAATGCTTTGAATAAATCTTCGGTGTTTTTCTCGCCACCGCCGTTTAGTAACGATGTGTTGTTTCACAATCTGTTGTTTCCATTGTAACTTAGCAGTTAAAGCTACAGAGGACTATTTATGTTTGACCTTAAACCGACAAATGACATGTGAGAGAGACACTAGTATCTTCAACACATCATGACAGTCCTATTTGCTGTCAGTAGGTTTATTGATTAACCTGTTTTGACATGAAGAGACTTTATATTGACGATTGTGACGTAACATTTGTGCTACAAATACAATGTCGTTTATACTCACCACATATATAGCCGCAAAAAGAAGTAAACATGCCTCAACAAATAATAGGATCCTCATCAAAACCAGGACCAGATATATTCATTATGACATGGAACTACTTTAAAGACCCAGCATGCGTACAGTAGTGGCCATTTAAACCGCGTTTAAGGTATTCTAATTTTGTGGAGTACGTTACAAGAATGGCGTCAAGTTGGCCCCTCTTAGGTCAAAGGTAACTACAAACATTAACAACAAATGAATTAAATAGATCAACTCTTCAAATAGGCCCATACATTTTATTCTCCATTCCCCGCCCTTTTAGCACCATTGCGATATAATCACAGTTGCAATGACTAACTACCGGCGACGGCCTGGTCGCGACTGGTTCAACTTCCATCTTCATCCCGCTTACTCGGCCATACCACCGCAACACAACGACGTCTAGGCGCGGATATTGGGAAAGTTTCCAGCATTGTGTCTCAAGGTCAGATGTACGAAGAAATGTATGTGTGAAATATGTCAATGGGTACGTAGAATTTATTGGGGCTGGGAGCGTATAAATAAACTGGAGAGCAGAACTATAGCCTACCAATAATAGACATGGAGCGTAGTCATGTTTATTAAACAACAAGTCAGATGGTTTGATGTTAACTCATGAGAATATCTAACTGTGGTGGTGCATTAATATAGCCCAACAATGTTTTGTAGCAAAAATAAACAAAACACTTTTATCTTTATGATTTTTCTCTAAAGCTTTAAATTGACGCAGCTGTGCAGCTTAAATGTCACGGCACCACGGCTGCTATGAAGATCTCAAACAAAACTGTGTTAATCCGATTTTTGAGCTGCCTGAGGAGAGTACAGCTGGCAAACGCCTCCTCTTGTAGATTGTTCCACAATCATGACATACTAGTGACAAGGGGGCGATTGTATTGGCCTGTTCTGGATGTACGAAGTTTGAAATGGTTTGTATGTGAGACAGAAGTCAGGCGGCTCTATCAGGCAGGCACATCGCGTGGCAGCATCAAAGAGGAGAGCCCCGAGGAGTAAAGCTCGATGGTGTAGAACAGAACTAGATCGCCATCGCCCGACAGTACAAAAGGGACACGAGACTGCCTGTTAGAGAAAAGTAATTGATGAAGTGTGACGTGTGAGCAATACTCGAGGCTAGGTGTTATCTGGGCCTTAAATAGGGTGAGGAGATCATGTGGAGGAAAGTATTACTTCTTAGCCCCCTAGACCAGCACCAGCCGAAATGAACGACTCTTTGGCAAAAATCGGCCGTCTATCTAAACCGGATGAGCGATAGAGCGCTGTTTGTTCGTCAAGTACTACGTTTTGGAAGCATTAGACTATACAAGATTGTTGCATCTCCAAGCAGTGATAACCTCCACGTCTCTCGTCAGAGAGGAAGTCGCTGCTAGTATTCTTCTTTACAGCTCACCGGCAGAGATGGGTCTGTCACTCTGAGATTCTGCATGTAAGGTGCTGTCATCAGCAAAGCTGTGCATCACATTGCTCGTACAGGAAAGGAGGTCGTTGATATGTAAGAGGAATGGTATCGGATGCAAGACCGATACCTAGGGAACCCGCGTTGAAGTTGTCGGATGAAAAGCAGAACCCGTCAATTCGACGGCTATCTTGCGGCCATAGAGAAAGCCAGCCACCCATCTACAAAGCTTGATGGAACGTTTTCGTGATATGAAGAGCAATGAAATGAACCTCACCAATTGCCTGACGTAAGCTAGGAGGATCCCCGTTGATCGCTGGTGAAGCTTGAGCGAGCTTCTGCTGCCACAGCGGGTTCTGGCCGAATCCTGACCTCCACAACACCATGGTTAGAGTTACCCCGGGGGAGACAGAACATCAGTGCTGTAAGGGACAAGCTGCGTGGTTAGGAATAGATCCAGCAGGCTACTGGCGCGTGACGGAGCACGAGGAAAAAGTAGGGCTCGTCAACATCTTCGTCAGTCCTTGGATAACATGGAACACTACAACTGCACGACCTGCTGCATCGGTCTTGTTTGAGCCCCGCCAGAGTTCATTATGTGCATTGAAATCACCGAAAAGAACTACCTCTGAAGCGAAGTGATTGATGTTCCGGAAGTCGATCTTGCGAGCAAGGTATTCAAGTAGGTCATCCCAGGTATGGCAGCAAATAAATTTAGGCAACGCTTTGAAGTTGGGGCGAAGCCACAGAACGTTCTTTCGGTCTGATTCCAAAGGAAATACTCTCATAACCATGAATGCTGTCTTTCTATAGCACATTTTCTTTAATACCTCTCATTTGTGTTTTGAGCTGTTCAGATACGAAGTAGTCGACGAAGTACATATCCTTCAATTCAAGAGCCTCATTCTTGTTCACAGTTCTTGCTTTGAGTGAAGAAGTTCCAATACCATATAATACTATAGGCCATATGAAGCATTGCATTGTACCTATTCTGGTGTTCAGTGACAAATGTCTGCAAGAAAGTGTGTTTTTGAGTTTGATAAATGTTGTCTTTGCTCAGCCTATTCATCCTTTCAGTTCTTCCCCGCATTCTAATTTTTCATTTAAAGTTGCGCCAAGGTATGTGCATGTTGCGACGCTTTCAATTACTACCACGTAAATTGTGAGAGGAGCACTACTTTGACTTTTACAGAAAATCGTTTTTTTTTCCTATTCATGAATTATTATGTTGTAGTGTCATCTCTACAACAGTGAGAAACGGAGCTAAATATACTTTTAAAACTCCAAGGTATTCTGCTCTGTTCGTTTCTGTTGAGCTAATCTTCATACCTCTGCGTGTGTGATTCCCTCATCCAAAATAATGCTTCAAGAAATATCGAGGTATTTTTCATTAATCAATTCTGGCGCTTGTTTTTCCCAAAGTCCTTCCAATGGTCCATCTCGAAAGATGGAGTTTCTCAGGAAATCATTTCTGTTGGAAACAACAATTCTATGGTTTAATTCCTATTAAGGTATTTTTAGAAAAGAACCTAAATATGTCTTGAAGCGGATCTTTGGAAAGTGAACCTGGGGAGTAGTCTGTGGAGCAGTTGGAAATGCGGGGGCTTAGGATTACCCCCCAATACGAATGAACAGTGCAGATTACCTTGAAGTCCTTGAAGCAAATTACTGCAGCCCCATAACGATGATCCTGGACATATAACGACCATTGCGCTTGAAAAAGGTTACTGAGATGTGTTAAACACCGATAAAATAAGGAGGGATTACAGCATAAATGAGGCTTGATTCGGTCAGACAATGGAGTCTTACAATTTGAACGGATTAAAAAGGTGGGGCCCTGGTTTCCAGTTCATATTAATTCCAAAAAGCTGAGCGAATTTTGTATTTACCGTTTTCTGTCCTCCAAACGCCACCACTGTATCGATTCCCAAAAACTACAGAGCCTTTTCCTTCTTAGCGTAGTAGTAACCTTGTCTCAAAATTTGATCCAAATCCGGGCAATAACTTCTGAAGGGCCAATGATTAGAATAGACAGACAGACCGAAGGAAATAAGACTATTTTTAGTGGTGCATATATCATGTAACGTTCAAAAACGTAATACCTCATTTTCAAAATTTGTTTGCGATTATAAGACTTTCTTGTCAAATTGGCGTCTGAAAAGAAAGGTCAAAATGGTACACTCAGGAATGTAAATCCAACTATGCTTATAGTTGCAGCCCACTTAGTCTGGATTTGTCACGTTTTGAGGATATCTGAAAGAGCTCTAATTATCAGGAAGCGTTTATAATTTTCAAGAAATTGATAGAAATTTGTCAATTGACTGGTTTGATTTACAGGTGACCTACGACTAACCAAATTCTTACGCTAAACTTTGTTTCCCAACACTTTACCTATTTGCAGCAACTTTCGTTTATATGTAATTCCCTATAACGAAAATACATTTTTATCACCTCAGAGTCACATAATTTTGCAATTTTATCTAAATAATGGAATATTTGTTATAAACGGGACCAGTCACAGTCACAATTACGGATTTGGTTTCAGTGTTGGTAACTTGAACCGCATTTAAAGTACTTTGAGTTTGAGTTAAGTGCTGACGGTTATGGGCGTTCCGTAGCAAAAGGGGTCAAAAATCGGAAAATAAGAACCCAATTATGTTTATACTACGTCAGCAAAACTGAATGTCCTGCTTTCAGGGTATCGGCAAGTATCCTTACCGGGTGGGTCAGGTGTGTAGCTTTATCTTCGAGATATCAGCAAGAAATCTAATTATTGAAAAATGCATCATAGGCGATTTCGAATATCTTTCCATTTTCTTGTGGCTTTTTTTTTGGGCTAAAGGCCTTTTGGACTTTGGCGACATCTTCAATGCATTATAGCCGTCTCAGACTACCTTCGAGGCACAAACTGTCTTGTCAAAGCTATCTGTGTTCAAATATATGAGTATTCTTCCCACTAACGTTCAAGTTGGTAATGTTGGGTAGAAACTACGAATAAAATGAGAGCTGCCTAGTTCACTTACCACATAAACAGCTGCAACTAGCGAAAAACATGCCACATAGCTAATGTCAGGTATCTCATTTTCATATGCTAAGAGTAAGCAAATCAATAACGTCAATCCTGTATTCATCGATGTCCAAAACATCATCTGTCCAAATATTTCATTGAAGTGACCAACCATATTATCGCAGTTGATGTACATCTGCTTCATTTGCCCTATGGTTCTTGCAGTTAGTTTTTCATCTCGTATGATACACTCTAGGCTGCTTCTCAGAACATTGTTCACTGCCTTATAACGATTCCTTATAACTTTCAGCATGAGGTTGGCCAAAACTGCTATAAGCAGTGAAACAAGCATGCAGAATTTAACACTTGTTGTAGCCAATCCATCTTCTTCATATTCGTACACCTCCCAAACATTCAATAGCAATATCCCTATATAGCATGGTACAAACTTTATAGCATGAGCCTTAATAGATTCATTTCCAATATCTTTACAAGCAGCTTCATCTAGCAACTCCTTCAACTTCCTAATCTCTTTAAAGAACGCGTACCAACTTTTGGTATCCCTTACTGGCAGTACTAAGCTGGTTATGAGCAAACTACATCTGCCAAGTGATAGACAGCAATGAACTATTTTCAATATGCCTGAATAATGATGGTACCTTTGCTCTACTCTCCTGTAAAATCCTATTGGGACTATACTGGTAGCTATCATGGTACGAAATATTAAGGCAATCCATTTGCGGGTGATAGATTTGAATTCTTGAGGCACTACACCAACCCAAGAGCCTATCTTGCAATACCTTTTAAGAAGATTAACATCTTTCTCAACAGCAGTAGTTTGCATTTTTTCTCTGGACACACAGGCTTTGACACTATGGGTACACAAAGTACACTGTATAAGTTTAATGTCAGGGAATCATTGAAATATTCATTAATATTCCTTGTTATTGAGTTTATAACGATGTAGCAATTTTAGTTTTTATTTGAATGAAATGAAATACTTAATGATGTGATAGAAATACGCTAACAAGTGGGAAGAACGTAAAAGATTAACAACATACTTAAGGCTAATTCATTTTTGAGCGAGTGATATATATCTGTCACCCAAGAAGTAACTTCTTCAGTGTTATCAGATAATCGCGTATAAGCAGAAGATATGATCATAAATGTTAAATTACATTTATACTAAAGATACATCAGCTTTAAGGCGATATCTCAATGCATTAGATAAATCTACGGTGTTCATACCCTTCGCCACCGCCGTTCAGTAACGATGTGTTGTTTCACTATCTTTTTCAATTCGTCGTGTGCTGTTTCTCAATAGTTTTGAAAAATTATCGACACACAACCTTTTATTTCCATTGTAACTTAACAGTCAAAGCTACAAAGGACTATTTATGTTTGACCTTAAACCGACAAATGACATGTGAGAGAGACACTAGTATCTTCAACACGTCATGACAGTCCTATTTGCTGTCAGTAGGTTTATTGATTAACCTGTTTTGACATGGAGAGCCTTAGGCCCGTATCGTCAGTCGTCCCTACAATAGTAGGGCGCCTTTATGGCCTCCTTGATTGTCTTAGTTTTCTGCTTCTCCGTGTCAGAACTCTATTTTGAGGTTATGTCACAAACATCTATTTGCATCAAATTGTGCTTGCTTTTGAGTTATATCATGTTTTATCAGCCTGAAATTTCCTACAATTTAAAAAGAAAACATATCTTCACAATAGGAGAGCGCTGACGCTGACACGGGTCAAGGGAAATCTAGAAATTTTTTAAGGAGAGAAAGGAGGATGACAATCAAGGAGGCCATGAACGTGCCCTACAATTGTAGGGACGACTGACGATACGGGCCTTAATACGATTGATGATTGTGACGTAACATTTGTGCTAGAAATGCAATGTCGTTCATACTCACCACATATATAGCCGCAAAAAGAAGTAAACATGCTGCGTGACTGACTGCTTTTTGGCTATTGTGAACATTAGCCTCATACGCCCAAACCAAGCAACTCAATATTGTAAACGCAGTAGTCATGGATGATAAGAACATAATTAAACCAAATATTTCATTGAAGAGCTCAACCATGTTGTTACACTTCGTATACAAAACTTTTATTTGCTTGATGACATTTGCAGTTACTTTTTCATCCTTTCTCATACAATCAATGTTATTTCTTAGTAGATTATGAACTGCTTTATAACGGTTTTTCACAACTTTTAGCATCACGTTGACCACTACTGTTATAAGTAGTGGGAACAGCAAGAATAATCTCAAAAATGCAGCTATCCAAATATTTTCTTCATGGCTATAGATTTCCCAAATGTTCAGTAGCAGTATTGCTATATAGCATGGCGTAAATTCAATAATATGGCGTCTAATATATGCGTTACCAATGTCCTTACAGGCTGCTTCATTTAGCAACACCCTTATCTGTCTAACTTCTTCAAAAAATGCATGCCAACTTTCAGTACGTCTTATGGTCAATATGAAGCTTGTTATTACCAAGACATATCTCGTGAAAGACTGACCAGAGTTGACCATCTGAAATATTATTGTATAATGTTGGTATCTTTCAGTCACTCTTCGGTACAACCCTAATATAATTATACATGTGGCTATGATAACGCGTAATATCAGTACAGCCCATTTAATGATGCTTGACTTGGCGCCAAGAGGTACTACGCCTATCCAAGATCCCATTTTATAGTACATTTGAAGAAGCTTCACGTCGCTATCAGCAGTAGATACCATTTTCCGCCGCAGTACTCACTACTGCTGAGTTTACGCGCAATGTGGTTATTGGGTAAAAACAAGTAGACCATAGATTATCCATTAATACTTTTTGCAATTAAGTAGATGACGGCTCCTGTGGAAAAGTTTTATTGAAATTAAACGTTGTTCTCAATGATATAATGGACATAATAGGACATAACATTCTCGATAAATACATAGTATGACAAATAAGTTCTAGAAGTTCTTGGTAACTTGGGAGATAGCTGCCATCGTCAACATCTACCTAGATATGAGAACCCTTCCTTTTTATGGGTATAGGAAGAAACGGGTAGACCGTAGATTCTCCATTAATATTCTTGTAATTAGCTAAATGATGTTTCCAGTGTAAAAGGTTCGTTGAAATTATCCAATGTATCCAAAGTGTCCATGTCGAAGTGCCTTCAGGAGGAATCCTCGGAGCCTGGGTCCACTAATTGGAGTTTTGAGATTTTTAGTGAAAGATACTGTATATCAAAAAGTAGTTTACTTATTGATTTTGAGCGTTTCTTATCTTCAATCGCTTTTTTATTCTTTCAGTTTTGTTTGTTTATATGTGCGGTTATTTCAGTTTATGAGCTGATGAGCTTGTTGACCCCCCATTACTCGGTTCTCTGTTGACTTTGTTGATCGGCAAGGTCAACTAGATCTGGTGTATACTGATTTTGCTAAAGTGGTAGATAGGGTGGGCCATGGCATATTTTTAAATAAGGTTTCTCATTATGGATTCCATTTGTCAGCTTTAGCACTCATTCAAAGTTATCTTTATGAAAAGACGCAACATGTTACTTTCCATGGATTCAAGTCGTACCAGTATGTAACTAAATCGGGAGTGCCTCAGGGTTCAAATCTTGTTTACCTTATTTATTGATGTTATTTCGTAAAATTTAAGTTGTAATGATGATGATGATTTAAAATTATTGAGGGTCATTGAGTGTGAGACTGATTGTATTGCACTTTAGCGGGATATTGTTGCTTTAGTAGCTTGGTTTGACAAGAACAATTTATTTCTAAAGCGACTAAGTGTAGTGTAGACAGTTTTCCAGGAAAACGTCGGTGGCCGCAGTAGTAGACTCTTCGGTCTCCTGATCAGTCGCCGTGCGGTGTGCGGGTTCGAGTCCCGTCCCAAGAACATTTTTTCTCTTGACTATGGATGTTGTGATTGTCTGTAGTGGTAGACGGTCTCTGATTCTCGAACGCAGAGATCCCACCCGGCGGATCTCGTAGGCGGGGCCAGAATGTATGCATGTTGCATGCACACATGTTCCCTCGCCAGAATCCGTGTGGCGTTTCCCCTTCCCCCTGTATCCCCCTATAGCTCCAGGGTACCCCATGGGTGTTTAGGCGTTAGGCCTTCGTGGTAGTCTGAATATAAAAAAAATAATCAGATTGGGGATGTTTACATATATCGCTATAACTCAATTGAGCATTTGAATGTTGTTTTTGACTATAAAATTAATTATGCACTCCTGATAGCTCAAAAGGTGAGTGAGTCGACATGGTTTTGTTATAAGAAACCGCAGAAGCTTGAGCCGCTCAGAGTCACCGTTAGTTTTATATCCTGCATACATTAGAGCAAAAACTAAATATGCATCGTTAATTTCGAACCCAATTTACAACTGCTACACTGATTCTCTTGAGCATGTTTAAAGAAAACTTCTCAAATTTATATCTTCCAAAGTTGACGTTGCATATCCTGAGCAAATGCAGAGTTTAGAGCTGAGAAATTGATGCATGAAATTGTGGATCAACTAAACTTTAATGTCCCATCTATGAAGACTCTTACCTTTAAAACCTTTTATTATGACAGAGCTTGCACAATTTATTTTTGAAAGCACCCATATACGTAATGTGTGAACAGCATTCTGGGAGTAACTAGAAATTACTTAAATAATTTACGATGTGTTTCTCACGTGACTGAAATGCTTTCTGCTTTTTTCTTGTTTGTTCTTTCCTTTAGAGGAGTCTCCTACTTTTTACATGTTTTACATTTTTGTTAGTTACGTTTATGTTCTCTTGGTAAATAGTTTCTGTTTCTGTTGGGCAATAAAAGCTGTTTATTGACTTTATTATTCATCAAGCGGGTTAGATGAAACTCTGTGAATCGAGACTGGGCCATTGAGGTACTTAATTTTTATTAGTTATATCCAACTGAATTACCACAGGGCAAAAAAATTTTGACCGAGCACTTAGAATTTCAAATCGGCATGCCGCTGACTTCTTTGTGCATATGATCAAGGGGAAAATTATTATATAGTATGCTGCCAATGTAGTATATCTATTAGCTGTGCCCGACGGTTTACTTAATATGTTGATCTTTCAGAAGAAATGCTATGTTCACAGCTATAAATAACGATTTTTCCAATTTTTTTGTGTCTTTTCAATAATGTATAGGAGAATTACGAGAAATCACCACCGCGCCCGTTAGCATGTATATGACTTGTAATTCGACAGTGTCCAGTGAATATAATTGCAATATGTGGCAGTATGTAAGTATAGAATATAAGATTTCACATTTGTGGACTTAACTAAGGCCTTTGATACGGATTGTGTTATACAAAACATTTAGAATCCTTAGAGTGTAGCGGTATAAGAGGACAACGAAAATCTAGGTGAAATTGAAAATCCAGACAATGTTCCCAGTGGCAACTATGTTTATGGTAAGAATCGCTTTAAATGTTGCAAGGATTCTCCAGTTCCCAAGAATACACGCACGTTACAACACAACATTGTTGTTAAATGCCCGGGACTTAAAAGAAATGACATCTATAGCACTGATGCTGAGCAAGTATGGAGTCTTTTATTCAATGAGCAAATTCTGAATATCATTCTTCAATCCACCAATGCAAGATTGATGAAAATGCGTCAAAAATACAAAAATGCAGCAAAAAACTTCGATATTCGTGATTTGGATCTTATGGAACTTAAAGCTTTTCTAGGATTGCTAATTTTTACGTCAATTTTGAAATCCAACCATGAGGACATAATATCCCTTTTCGCCACAGATGTCTCTGGACGAGAAATTTTCCGATGCGTGATGAATGTGAACCGATTTGCAATAATTCTTTCT